ATAGGCGTAGGCATAGGAGTTAGGGGGGAGGCAGATGCACACAGGCATAGCCATAGGAATTGGGGAGGGGCATATGAATTTTGGGTGTGGGGGGAACGGACCAATTAGTAGGTTTTGGTCGAAACCTCCTATCAGGCAAGCCTATTTGGAGACTAATGACGATTACGGCGATGCCTGTCACATTAAGAGGATGATTATGATGATGATGCTGATGATGATAATGGTGATGATGATGCTGATGATGATGATGATGATGATGATGATGATGATGATGAGTCTGTTTGTGGTGAAGCTGATGACGATGACGATGGCGATGACGATGACCAGGATAATTGGGATTCTGGTCAGGATGGTGATGATGATGACGATGATGATGCTGCTGTTGGTGATAATTATGGCCATACCGATAGTGATGATGATAATGGTGGTGATGATACGGTTGACGATGCAATTGATGACGATGATGAAGAATAACACCATGATTATGACGAGGATCGGTTCAATGATGATTATGTCCACGGCGAAGACGACGATGATGATGATGATGATGATGACGTTGAGGAGGAATCTGATTGTGAGCATGATGATGGTGATGATGCTGGTGATGATAGTGTCGATGATGATGATGACGATGATGACGATGATGGTGATGATTCTGTACTGGAGGTCGTGACCAAACTGATGCGCCTGCCCTGGCGACTGGACCAAACGCCACAACGCCCTGCGCATCCAGGCCTTGGATTTGACGCCCTGGCCGCCGGCCAAGCTGGGGCGGAGTTGGAGCGCTCGGGGCTGTTTCCCCCGCGCCCCGCCGAGGAGGCCACCCCCCTCGGGGGCGAGCAGGGCGGGTCCTGGGTTGACGACAACGGCCGCCGCCCTGCCGACGTCTACTTGCCATGGTGGCGCAACGGCACGGCGGCCGCTTGGGACGTCTGGGCTGCCCGCCGATTTCCTCGCCGCGTCGGCCGCTTCGTCCAGGGCGGCGACGGAGCGGAACGAGGAGGCCAAACGGCAGCACCATGACACCGCGCGGCAGTGCGCGGCACAGTGCTTCATCTTCGTCCCCGTGGTGTTGGAAACCACGGCGGCGGGTGGAGCCGCGAGGCGCGCAGGGCCTTCGGGGTCCTGGCCCAACGGGTGGCTGACGCCGCGGGGGAAAACGCCTTGCATGTTGCGGACCAACACGCGCAGCGACTTTCCGTCTTCCTGCGCAGGGAGGACGCGCGGGTGTTGCGGCGCCTCCAGACGCTGTCTGGAGGGGCGGGGGTGGCAGCGGCCCGCGTGGCCGCGGGCACAGCTGCCTCCACGGCGGACGCCGTGGGAGGCCCCCCTGGCGCTGCCTAGCGCCCCCCCCCCACCTGCTTTGGCTGGGCAGCACGGACGCCTCCCGCGCCCTTTCGCCAACGTGGCATGGGCGACCCTCCGCAGGTGCCGTCGGGCCATTCCTCGGTGGGGAGGTGGGTGACCCCGCAGAGGGTTCTCCCCGCAAAGCCGCGGCGTGGTGGGCTCGGTCGGCCACCCCGACCACGTCGTCGCCGTAGGTTCCGTAGCGTCGCCGCGGGTGGTTCTTCTCTCCCGACTCCTGGCCTGGCCTGTCTGCTTGCGGTTGCTTCCCCTTCTTGCGGCCGCATATCCCTCCCCCTCCTCTATCTTTTCCTTATGTTCCCTGCCTTGTCCGCTTGCGGCTGTTTCACCTCTCCTCCTTTTCCTTGCTTCCTTCCCTACCCTCCTGCTCCCTGCGTGCTGTCTGCCCCCTTATGCCTGTCCGCCCGCCCCGCTGGCCCAGGCCTCCCGCAGGCGCGTTCGTCGTCGCCTGCCTGCTTTTCCCCTCCTCTCCAGTGTTCGCCAGGCAGCGAAGCCTGCCCGGGAGCATCTTAGAAGTCAGGGAGCCTCGATTTCAGGGAGATAAACGCAAGGGCTGCCGCGCAGCTTCCGAATGCGCCTTGGTGGATGGCTCGTGCGGGGTGCGGCGTGCTTCCTATTCCGTTACCACGTAGCCGGCACCTCGCAGCCCGCTCCAGGTCATCGTGCCGATCTCCACTTGGGCGCGGGCGTCTCAGCTTTGAAGTGAAAAAGTCGGGATCCGTCGCATAGGGCCCGGAGGTTTCGGAATGCCCCGCCCTGGGGCCATGCTTGAAGGGTGCTGGCGCAAGGGCCTGCGCTGCGCTGCCTCGGAACATGTCGGGGCAGGTTAGTTCGTGTAGAGGAGCGGCGGCCTCGCAGCTGCTGTTTCGTGATCCTGCTCATTCTCTGGGGCTTCCTCTTCGGGCAAGAAAAGTGTAATGCATGCGCTGGCATGGCGTCGGAAACCGAGTGAGAGGAGGAGCAGGAGGCGCAAGTTGCACTTGCGCCGCTGCTGCTGGCTGGGCGTGGGGCTCTTCTCACGACAATCACTGCTCGAGCGTTTCCAGCCAGTGCCCCACCTCCTCCTCGAACCAGCCAGCTGATGCCACTCCGCGGTGGCGAGTCGGGGCCCCTTCCGTTGGTCTGGACAAAGAGCGCCCTGCCCATGAAAGGGGCGCCCGCGACGAGCTTCATCTTCTTCGTATCGTAGGAACGCACGAAAATAATGGAGTTCATGGCTAACTGGAGGTGCTCCTTCGTGATCTCTGGTTCGAGCACCTCCTCGTCAGATGGTCGCGCTTTCTCGAGATACGCGTCGATATCCGCTTTCAGCTGTCCGCCCACATCGCGCATTTGCGAAGGCCCTCCAAGACTGCGAGGCCCAATGACGAGGCTGGGGGGCCGATCTCCTTCATTCAGGCGCTGCTTGTCCTCGTCGCCACCCTTGCGGAGCTGGTCCGGCGTCTGTTTGCAGCCCTCCGGCGCTTCCGAGACCGCGTCGACGGCGCAGCAGGCTGAGGCTGAGGCCGAGGCTGCATGCAGATTGAGGCTGAGGCTTAAGCAGGGTGAGGCTGAGGCTGAGGCTGAGGCTGAGGCTGATGCTGAAACTGGCTGAGGCTGAGGCTGAGGCTGATGCAAGGAAATGCGACTGTCATCGCGAATGCGACTACGAAAGCGAGAACAGCAGAATTCTAGAACTGGATTCTCATCTGAATCTTAAGGGGAATGCTTCCATATAGTTATGCTCCTACACATCGCTGTTGGGTCGCTTTGCCGGCATAATTTCAATTAAGAAATCGGATTATCTCTGTGAACACATTTTTTTTTCTCCCCCTCCTTTTTCTTTTCTCTTCCTTTTTTCTCCTTTCTTTCCCCCCCCACATGCTTCGTGGGATTCTGGTTTTCTTCCCTGCCGCGCCGCGCCCGCGACGCACGCACGCGCGCGCGCGCGCCTCGCTCTTCGTGCAGCACAGCACAGCACATCACAGCACAGCACAGCACAGAACAGCACAGCTCAGCTCAGCTCAGCACGCAGCTCAGCTCAGCTCAGCTCAGCACACAGCGCAGCGCAGCACAGCACAGCACAGCTGAGCTCAGCTCAGATCAGCACAGCACAGCTCGGCTCACCTCAGCACAGCTCAGCACAGCCCAGCACGGCTCAGCACAGCACAGCACAGCTCGGCTCAGCTTAGCTTGACATGCTCGCAGAGCGTGGCAGGCGCTGCATTTTCTCGGCACCGCTGGGGGCCCAGGGCGTTGCAGGCGTGGCACTTCCTCGACGCCGCAGGGGGGGGGGGGCTGCGGGTGGGGACGCTATCCGTTTCGGGCTCGCGTGGCAGGCGTGGCACTTCCTCGACACCACAGGGGGGGAGCTGTGGGTGGGGACGCTATCCGTTTCGGGCTCGCAAAGCGTGGCAGGCGTGGCGCTTCCTCGACACCACAGGGGGGGAACTGTGGGTGGGGGCGCTATCTGTTTCGGGCTCGACATCACAGGGGGGGGGGGGGAGCTGTGCGTGGGGGCGCTATCCGTTTCGAGCTCGCAAAGCGTGGCGGGCGTGGCACTTCCACGACACCTCAGGGGAGAGCTGTGGGTGGGGACGCTATCCGTTTCGGGCTCGCAGAGCGTGGCAGGCGTGGCACTTCCTCGACACCACAAGGGGGGGGGGGCTGTGGGTGGGGACGCTATCCGTTTCGGGCTCGCAAAGCGTGGCAGGCGTGGCACTTCCTCGGCACCACAGGGGGTGGGGGGGAGCTGTGGGTGGGGGCGCTATCCGTTTCGGGCTCGCAAAGCGTGGCAGGCGTGGCACTTCCTCGACACCGCAGGGGGGAACTGTGGGTGGGGACGCTATCCGTTTCGGGCTCGCAAAGCGTGGCAGGCGTGGCACTTCCTCGACACCACAGGGGGGGAGCTGTGGGTGGGGACGCTATCCGTTTCGGGCTTGCAGAGCGTGGCAGGCGTGGCATTTCCTCGACACCACAAGGGGGGGGCGTTGGGGGTGGGGACGCTATCCGTTTCGGGCTCGCAAAGCGTGGCAGGCGTGGCGCTTCCTCGACACCGCAGGGGGGGGGGGGCGCTGGGGGTGGTCTCCGTGTCCGTTTCGGGCTCGCAAAGCGTGGCAGGCGTGGCACTTCCTCGGCACCACAGGGATTGCGCTGGGGGTGGTCTCCCTATCCGTGACGGGCTCGGAACGCGTGGCAGGCGTGGCACTTCCCCGACGCCACAGGGAGTGCGCTGGGGGTGGTATCCTTATCCGTTTCGGGCTCGCAGAGCGTGGCAGGCGTGGCACTTCCTCGACACCACAGGGGGGAGCTGTGGGTGGGGGCGCTATCCGTTTCGGGCTCGCAGAGCGTGGCAGGCGTGGCACTTCCTCGACACCACAGGGGGGAGCTGTGGGTGGGGACGCTATCCGTTTCGGGCTCGCAAAGCGTGGCAGGCGTGGCCTTCCTCGACACCACAGGATGTGCGCGCTGGGGGTGGTCTCCCTATCCGCTGCGGGCTCGCAACGCGTGGCAGGCGTGGCACTTCCTCGACACCACAGGGGGCGCGTTGGGGGTGGTCTCCCTATCCGTTGCGGGCTCGCACAGCGTGGCAGGCGTGGCACTTCCTCGGCCCCACAAGGGGTGCGCTGGGGGTGGTCTCCCTATCCGTGACGGGCTCGCAAAGCGTGGCAGGCGTGGCACTTCCTCGGCACCACAGGGATTGCGCTGGGGGTGGTCTCCCTATCCGTGACGGGCTCGCAAAGCGTGGCAGGCGTGGCATCCCCTCGACACCGCAGGGGGTGCGCTGGGGATGGTCTCCTTATCCGCTGCGAGCTCGCAAAGCGTGGCAGGCGTGGCACTTCCCCGACACCACAGGGGATGCGCTGGGGTTGGTATCCCTATCCTTGACGGGCTCGCAAAGCGTGGCAGGCGTTGCACTTCATCGACACCAGAGGGGGTGCGCTGGGGGTGGTATCTTTATCCGTTGCGGGCTCGCAAAGCGTGGCAGGCGTGGCACTTCCTCGACACCACAGGGGGGGGGGGGGCGCTGGGGGTGGTCTCCGTATCCGTTGCGGGCTCGCAAAGCGTGGCAGGCGTGGCACTTCCTCGACACCACAGGGAGTGCGCTGGGGGTGGTATCCTTATCCGTTGCGGGCTCGCAAAGCGTGGCAGGCGAGGCACTTCCTCGACACGACAGGGGGTGCGCTGGGGGTGGTCTCCCTATCCGTTGCGGGCTCGCAAAGCGTGGCAAACAATATGGCGTTGGATGACACATTGGGAAACATTCGCGACGAGGGCTCAGAACGCAGGATTGCGCATATATTAAAACATAAGCAAACACATCATTTTTGAATTAAGTATGTGGGGTTCTTCGGTAGCGTAATTTTCATTCTTTTTTATTTGATGTTTTCTGAACATCTGTGAAAACACAGTGTTTCCAGTATCGTTACAAATTACAATCGGATCCCCTTTATGGCGGAATACAATTGGATTTTCTTTGTAGCGGAATACAAAAGGATTCCCTTTGTAGCGGAATACAGAAGGATTCCCTTTGTGGCGGAATACAACAAGGATTCCTTGTGTGGCGGAATACGAAAGGATTCCTTGTGTGGCGGAATACGAAAGAATTCCTTTTGTGGAGGAATACACAAGGATTCCCTTTGTGGCGGAAAACAAATTAATTTCTTTTGTGGTGGAGTACAAAAGGATTCTTTTTGTAGTAGAATACAGAAGGATTCCCTTTGTGGCGGAATACGAAAGAATTCCTTTTACAAATAAATGCATAGGGAGGGTGCCGAAAAAAAACGCCTGGCTTATTTGGCACCCTGTATGGCCAGAAATGGTTTTCTGGAGCAATACGGATTCTTTGTCTTGATGTCCCGGGAATGGCGTTGTGGCATTATTCAGGATGATCAATACGCAACAGTCAGGGTGATCCGTGGCGTTGGAATCCCGAAAATTATGTTTTGGCATATTTCAGGGCCTTCAAACGGATGTCTTCCAACGAGGCAGTTCCCTCAAGAGCACTGAACCGTTGTATGGGGCCCGTGAAGAGGGATCTTGGAGGAAGGGTTTATTCCAACATCGTTGATGGTTTTTGGGTTTGCACTGGTCCTCCTCCTCCTCCTCCCCCTCCCCCTCCTCCTTCTCCTCCTCCTCCTCCGCCTCCTCCTCCTCCTCCTCCTCCTCCTCCTCCTCCCCCGCCGCCATCGCCGTGGGCCAGACGGCCTCCCCGCTCGCCGAGGCCCTCTCCCCGCCGTCCAAGGCGGTGTCCTGCAGCGCCCCGCACGCTGCGTCTGCGGCGTCCCGGTGCCTACCAGGGAGGAGGAGGAGGAGGAGGAGGAGGAGGAGGAGGAGGAGGAGGAGGAGGAGGAGGAGGAGGAGGAGGAGGAGGAGGAGGAGGAGGAGGAGGTGGTGGAACAGGAGAAGGAGGGGAGGCTGGGGGGGCGACGTGTGGGGGGGGGGGTGATAGGTTCAGTCGGCGTCGAGCGAGGGGGGGTCAGTGAGAAGGAGAAGGCCTCCTCAGAATGTTGGGCAGTCACTAGGCCTGCTGGGAAGTTTTCTAAGCCTTTTTCTGGAGACACAAAGAAGCTCTCAGAAGGCGCGAGGGCTTCTGAGAAGGCGACTCCAGTTCGACCCCAGCTCGACGTTGGGGGGAGTGACAGGCTCAGGGGGAGGTTTATGCTGCCTCGTGGGGGGACCTCGCCTGTCCCCCAAGTCGGTGTCTTTTCTTGGGCCCGACGCGCGGGTTCGATGCGGACTTGGCGTGGATTTGGCGTGGATTCGACGCGGGTTCGATCGACACAGATCCGACGAGGCCGACATGGAGTCGACACTGATTCGACGCGGAGATCTTAGCACGCCTCTGGCCCGTTGGGCCGGCGAATTTGTGTGTCCCTGGGCCCCTTTCAGCCACGCGCAGAGGGGGGTGGGGGGAGGGGGGAGGGCTTCTTAGAAGCACCCCTGCTTCTTAGAAGGCGCTGGCCAACCCTGGTTCTTGGGTCTACACTGATCCTCCTCCTCATCCTCCTCCTCCTCCTCCTCCCCCTCTTCCTCCCTCCTCCTCCTCCTCCTCCTCCTCCTCCTCCTCCCTCCTCCTCCTCCTCCTCCTCCTCCTCCTCCTCCTCCGGCGTCGCCGCCTCCCGGCGCGAGGGCCGCGGCGCTGCCGAGGCGGCCCTTCGCCGTGCGCGCCGCCAACCCGTCACCGTTGGGGGCAGCAGGCTGCACGGCCACGAGCCCCGCGAAGGCCTCGCGCGCGCGTGCGGCGCCGTCGGGGGAGCGGGCGCCGCGCTCGGGGCGTGCCGCGCTCGAGCGAGCGCTCCCCGCGGCGGGCGCGCGCTCTGCCCTCGGGTCCGCGGAGCCGCGGTGCGCTCGAAGCGCAGAGGCTGCATGGCGTGAGCGAGGCCTCCTCCTCGTCCTCCTCCTCCTCCTCCTCGTCCTCCTCCTCCTCCTCGTCCTCGTCCTCCTCCTCCTCCTCCTCCTCGTCCTCGTCCTCGTCCTTCTCCTCCTCCTCCTCCTCCTCCTCCTCCTCCAGAGGAGAGCTCCTGGTCACGAAGACCATCCGCCGTCCCTCCGTGCAGCCGGGGTGGGACGTCGAGGTCTTGCCACACACGAAGAGGATGAGGGAGCACCTCCAAGGCATATTTCCAAGGCGTATCTCTGGGTAGCACGAGACCTTGAGCAGCTTGCTGTGTGCTTGATCCAGGCCGTGTGCTGAATTTGTGGGCAGAGCGCGAGCAGAAAGAGACGGGCAGGCGAATTCCTTCTCCTTCTCTTCTTCTTCTTCTTCCTCTCCTTCTTCTTCCTCTTCCTCCTCTTCTTCTTCTCATTTATATTTTTCTTCTTCTTCTTCCTCGAGGAGGAGGAGGGGGAGTCGAACTTGAATTCGGAGTCGGAGTCGGAGGATGAGGTGGAGGAGCGGGGGGCGGAAGCAGTCCTCCCTCTACTCCTTCCCCTCCTGGTCTCCTCCTCCTGCGCCCCGCCGCTCCTTCTCCACCTCCCCCTCCTCCTCATCCGCCTTCGCCTCCTCCTCCTCATCATCACCACCATCATCATCAGCATCATCATCATTATCATCATCATCAACATGATCATTAGCATCATCCTCATTATCATTATCATTGTCATTACCATTATCATTACCATTACCAGTATCATTATCATTATCATTATCATTATCACTATCATTATCCATTACCAGTCTCACTATCATTATCATTATCATGAACAGTATCATTATCATTATCATTATTATTATCATTGTCATTATCATTGTCAGTATCATGATCATTATCAATATCATTATCATTGTCATTACCATTAACATGTTCATTATCAGTATTATTATCATTATCAGTATCATGATCAGTATCATTATCATTTTTATTATCATTACCATGATCACCATCACTATCATTACCAGTATCATTATCATCATCATTATCATCATCATTATCGTTACCATTATCATTATCACTATCATCATCATTATCATTATCATTAGCATTAGCATTATGATTATCATTATCATTACCATTATCATGATCATTATTATTATCATTATCGTTATCGTTATCGTTGTCATTGTCATTAACATTATCATTAGCATTACCATTATCCTCATCATAATCATTATCATTATCATTATCGTTATCAGTATCATTATCATTATCATTATCATTATCATCTTAACTATCATTATTATTATCACTCCCATTCTCATTATAAGTATCACTATCATTATCATCCCCTTCATTATAATCAGTACCATTACCACTACCATTATCATCCTCATCTTCATCCTCATCATCATCATCATCATCATCATCATCATCATCATCATCATCATCATCATCATCATAATACTCATCAGCACTATTTTTGACGTTGGCCAGGCATGAAGACTGCGCTTGTTTCGTTCTTCTTCTTCTTCTTCTTCCTCGTCCTCCTCCTCCTCCTCCTGGGGGGGTGGGACCTCTCCTCCTCCCCTCCTCCTCCTCCTCCTTCTCCTCCCCCTCCTCCTCCTCCCTCTCCTCCTCTTCCTCCTCCTCCTTCTGCTCCTCCTCCTGCTCCTCCTCCTCCTCCTCCTCCTCCTCCTCTTCCTCCTCTTACAACTCTTACTCCTCCTCCCTCCTCTTCCTCTTCCTCCTCCTGCTCCTGCTCTTCCTCCTCCTCCTCCTCCTCCTCCTCCTCCTCTTACAACTCTTACTCCTCCTGCTTCTCCTGCTCCTGCTCCTGCTCCTGCTCTTCCTCCTCCTCCTCCTCCTCATCCTCCTCGGGGCAGGGTGGTAGCCAAATGCCGCCCCCAGCAAACGGCGTTCGGCGGATTTGGGGCCAGATGTGGGTTGTCCCAGCTCGGCGCTAGCACTGGCCCAGGCGTTCGAGATCTAGGGTCTCCGACAGTCTTTCGAGACCCTAGAAGCGGAGATCGTCCACGATGGATCAGCTCATGTGCTGGCAGACACTGGAGCTCACGTCGTCATGGTAGGATTCTGGTGCATCGCCGTCTTCCTCCTACTGTACTGGATCCGGGAGGGGTTCCGCCGGTTGGGAGGTACGAGCGCTTGGAATCGAACATCGGGGAGGGCACCTATGGCCTCTACGCCTGCGATGAACACGCGGGCGGATGGTATTGAGGGTGTGGAGCAGTAGATGATTTTTGAGCTGAGAACGAGGATGAGTAGCCGGGGATCCGAAGCTAAATACACTGGAGAGACGCTTCATTGATGCAGAACGAATCGATGTTTGCCATGGCGCTGTCAGATGAGGTTGGCAATCTAGTCAAGTGACGCCAGCGTGCCATCGCGCACATGTCGTGTGGGCTGTGATGGTTGTGGGCGCCTTGAGCAGTATGGCCTCCTTCGTGGCACCAGCCGGGCACTGCGAGGAGGAGCAGGAATAGGCATAATTAGGAGGATACTGGCAAGGGCTGGGGGTGGCGGCGTGACGGGGGAGATGTGAGGAGAGGATGGCAGGGTAGCCAGTGGAGAGTGTGGCGCACGTCTTACGCCGCATTATAGCCGGATTCTATGACTGAGGCTTGGTGTGCCCTCGCCAGTCCATGCAGGAACGATTCCCATGCGAGCTGCCGCGAGAAGGCTGCACGAGTGAAGCGAAAAGAGGGGACGCAAGTCACACACACAAGCTGGAGTCATTGCGAGCAGCAGGAGGAAGGAGGGGGAGGAAGGGGATGGAAGGGAGATGGAAGGAGGGGCAAGGAGGGGCAAGGAGGGGCAAGGAGGGGCAAGGAGGGGGAAGGGTAATATCGTAGAAGAGTGGGATGATGGAGGAGGGCGAAGCGGAGGTGTAGTTGGGGGAGTGGATGGGGCGGCGGCGGAGAATGATCGGGGGGAGGGAGCAGGAGGAAGAGGAGGAGGAGGAGGAAAAGGAGGAGGAGAAGGAGGAGGAGGAGGGGGAGCAGGAGCAGGAGGAGGAGGAGGAGGAAGAGGAGGAGGAGGAGGAGGAGGAGGAGGACGACTCTGTCCTCCCCCCATAGGCCCTAGCAGGCCACTCCACTTGTCTTGGTCTACGCTGCCGCCCTTGCTCCTGATGGCTACTTTGACAAATGGTTAAATGGTTGTTCTGTTGCACTAAGGCCGCGCCGCCTAAGTCGGACTCCTTGTCTCCTGGTTGCAGCACAGATGCTACAGCCATCTTGACCTTGATGAAGTCAGGGCAACTCAAGGAGGACAATTACGAAGAGGACGGAGGATGGAGCATGGTGGATCGAGCAGGGATGAGGGGGATACGGAGGCTCAGGATGAAGAGCAGGAGTAGGAGTAGAGAGCATCGAGTCTTTACAATCGCTGCATACACGCTTCGGTCCATGCCAACCGAAATACGGGCAACGTAAAACAGTGGAAGCAGAAACCAAGCTAGCGGGGTCAGAATAGTGACGCAGCTCGATGTTGGGACTGGCGAGCGTTTCCCCTAGCGAGCGGAAGGCGCTCGCGCGCTGTCTGGCTTCCGGCGGCTCGCGAGGGGAAAACACAGGTCGCGCACGGGTTCGAGCGGAACTTCCAGAGGACTCTTGCGCGGCGCTGCGGTGAGAGCTCCGCTTAGCCTTCTTCCCGCGCGGCTAAGTTTCTTGTGCGCGCGGCGAAGACGAAGCGCGCGCCAAATCAGCACCTCATGATCGGCTTGTTTTCCACCACCGCCACCATAAGTTGGGGGGGGGAGGGGGTCTTCTTCCTCCTCCTCCTCCTCCTCCTCATTCCCCCCTCCAACTGATGGTGGTGGTGGTGGTGGACAACAAGCCGATTAACCTTACACTTTCACGCAACATCTGTGCGGCGCTTGGGCGAGAAGAGCAAACAGTTCGCCCGCTCTCGCGCGGCCCCACCGCCGCTGCCGCCTTCCCGTGACCCGGCGACCGAAAGACGTGCGCCGCTCGGGAGCTTTGAGACGGGGTCAAGGTCAGCCAGAACGCCCGATCTTGCAGGATCCTGCAGGGCCAGGGTCGCATAGACCCAGGTTTGGGCGCAGGATCCTGCAGGATCCTTCGCGTTGACCCGGGTTTGGGTGCAGGATCTTGCAGGAGCTGGCAGAACTCTGCGAGGCCTGACTGACCCGGGTTTGGATTGACCCGGGTCAGAAGATCCCCGAGCCGCTTCGGAGCGGGAACGCCTCTTCCAGGCGAAATCTGCACGGGGGCTGGGCGAGGGCGACGATTCGCCTGCTCGCTGCCACGACCCCAGCGGCCTGCCGAGCGACAGAGAATCCGCGCCGCGCCCATGCGGGAGCGCCGCCCTCGGGCGACAGTCTGCGCGGCGCAGATGGCGAGAGCGACATGGCGCCCGCTCGAGCGGGACCCCGCTGTCGACGAGTGGCGATCGAAAAAGGTGTGCCAGGGCTGGACCTGGGCGCTGTTTTGCTGGACTCTGGCTGTGTTTGTTGCTCGTCTCGGGAGGGAGGTGCATGCAAGCAGGTAGAGCAGAACGAGCAACACAACGAAACCATCAAAAAGACAACGTTTAGGTCCAGCCTTAAGTCGGGCCTGTCCCTCTACAGGAGGAGTGTTCAACAATAGCAACAAAATAGTCAGGGGACGATTTTTCGACTACTTTCTACCATTTGGGAGTATGTTTTGACTATTTTCACCTTTTCGTTCAAAATCCCCCTGTAGGGGGACATGCCCGACCTGAGTCCAGCCCTGGAGGTGTACCGCGCCCACGCGGCAGCTCGGCTCTCCGGAGCAAAAGCGTGCGCGGCACCGAGGCGGGAGCGGCCTTCCGTCCTCCCTCGCGTGCCGTGTGCTGCGCCCCGCCCCGTTCGGGCCTGCCCCGCTCTGGCCACGCACGTCCAGGGGGAGGAGGAGGAGGAGGAGGAGCAGGAGAGAGGAGGAGGAGGAGGAGGAGGATGGCAGGAGGAGGAGGAAGGAGGAGGGAGGGAGGAGGAGGAGGAGGAGGAGGAGGAGGGGGAGGGAGGCGAGGAGGAGGAGAGAGGAGAGGAGGAGGGGAGGAGAGGAGGAGGAGGAGGAGGAGGAGGAGGAGGAGGAGGAGCATGTGCTGTGTACTGCTTTTGACGGGGGTAGGATGGGGCGTCCCGGATGCTGGGGCCATCGGCCAGCCAGGTGGTAGAGCGGGAGGCCTGAAGTCCAAAAGAAGCAGGACGGGTGGATGATGGCACTGTGTCGAAATCGTGGCCACCAACTTTGAGGTTCCGCGAGGCCACTCCGTTGTCGCCGCGTGGTCGCCAGGTGATCGGCTTTGGCACTTGGTTGCCACCGCCTTCTTGGGAGCAGCACCTCCCTCATCCACACGGCTGTCTTAGAAGAGACCGCTCCCTTTACGATCGCACCCCTCCGCAGCACTCCTTGTGCCTTCGCACGGTCGCGCGGGCCGGTCGCCAAGCAACGTGGGGACTGGGACATGTGCGCCCCTACTCTCCGTGGATGTCGGCGCAGACAGTTGTGCTGTGGGTGTTGTCTAGGGATTTGGCATGGCTTGGGCGCGTGGTGAGCTTATGATATTTGACTTTAATGTACCTGGGCGGAGATGCGAGGCGATGGCTGCACGGTTGCACGTGATTCAGCTTTATGGCATAACTGCTGTGATCTAGCTGCGCCTTTATCGGTTTTCTCCTGCCTGATCCCTCTTCCTCCTGCTCCTCCTCGGAGCCCCCCCCAGAACCCCCTCAAGCAACCAAGAGCTACCAAGTATGCCGTAGAGATTACAATAACCATAATGGAATCTGCCAGACTTCCCCCCTGAACTCTTTTTTGACAACATATTTTCCTCCCCAGCCTCATCTCCTCCTCTTCTCCTCTGCCTCTTCCTAGCTCCTCCTGTCTCTCCTCGACATTGTCCTCGTACATCTCCTTCCGACTGTTTATCCTTCTGTCCGTAGTCTCCTCGAACTCCATGCTTCTCCCTCCTAAGTACCTATCCTTCTCCATCTACTCCTTCTGCTCCTTTCCTCCCAACTGTACTCATACTGTTACTTCCCCAACATCGTCCTCTTCCCACTCCTCCTCCTTCTCCTTCTCCTCCTCCGAAGCTATTTTGGCTCATGCCTGCCTTGGGCGCCAGGCGGGCGGCAGCATGGGGCCTCTGCCGCGGTGGGGATGGCTCCCCTGGGGATGGCTGCGGCAGGCTGCACGGCTGCTCACGGAGCGGCGGAGCATCCCGACGCTGCGGCGGGCGCGGGCTCGCTGTGGCCAGCAAGGCGTGCCAAGCGCGGCACTGCCTGTGCGGCGCCTGCGGGCCGCCTTGCCGCGGCGCTCCAGATGATCACCGAGCTGGAGGAGCAGGTGTTGGGGCTGCAGGCCGAGCGGCGCCATGCCCAGGCGGCAGTCCACGCTGCGGCCCTTGCGGCGGCCCAGCGCGCCTCGGAGGCCGCGCCCGAGGCGGCGAACGGGTCGGCCGCGCAGCAGGACCCCGCGCTGCAGTGCGAGCTCGTGGAGCGATTGGCGCTGGTGGCGCCCGTACTGGAGGCGGACCCCCTGGACGCGCCCAAGAGCGCCTTGCAGGTGGGCAGGCGCAACACGGTGTGCCACCCCACGCATCTGGCCGCGGCCGAGGTCCGTGCCATGCCTCAACGCGCGCTCAACCGTTTGCAGCGCGAGGCGAGGCGCGTGGGCCCTCGGCCCCGGCGTGGCAGCAGGCGCGCGCGCCATTGCAGCCGCGGCGCCGCCGGCTGCCCACGGCGTACTAGGCTGCGGATGCGGCCCCGCTGGCATGGCGCGTGGTGGCCCTGCGCGGCCGCGCAGCACGCAGTGCGCCGCCTGAGCGAGCTCCTCGGTGCACATCTCGCGCCGAGAGGCCGCCCAGGGCCGTAGGAGCTCGCTGGTGGACAGCGGCGGCGGAGGTGACGGGGAGGAGTGGCGGCCCCGATGTCCTCTCTCCTTGCGGTACCGCCGACTCCCAGGGAGTACCTGATAATGACGACCAAGGTGGAGCCGCGGAGTTTCGTGGTGCTGCCGACGTCCGTTGTGCTCGTGCCCTCCCTCGGCAAGCCGTTCGCGATGCCGCCCATGTTCCCCGTGCTGGTCCCGAGGAAAGCGTCGCGAACGTCGGCGCCGAGGTCCCTCACCCTGCCTGTGGTGCCGCCGCCACGGGTGCTGGCGCTGGAGTCTCTCCTGATGGCGTTCACGGAAGGGCTCGCGGGGTCGATGGGGACGCCGCTTGACACGCTGACGATGCCTGCCAAGTTCGTGGTGCGGCAGTCGACGGCGATGCTGATGGCGATGTTCCGCTTCGTGGCCGTGCTGTCGCCGGCGACCCGTTCGTCGAGCGCGCGGGCGTCGGTGGGATGCGGAGCCTCGTGGCGATGCGGAGGCACGTGTTCCAGACATAGGCCACCGCTGACCGCCTGCAGGGCGAGGCCCAGCTCACCAGCGTGGCCGCGGAGCTGGAGCAGGCGAAGGCCGCAACGCTGGGCCGCCCGACAGATTTTTCGTCCTCATCGTCCCTCCCTCCTCCTTCCCTCCTCTCCTCGCCCCCCCCCTCTTCCACCTCCCCCTCCTCCTCGTCCTCCTTCCCCGTCGGTGCCAGTTCGTGCAAGACCTCTGCCTTGGCATCGCCGGGGCGCGTGCGTGTTTTTCTCGGCGAGGACCCTGGAGGAGCATCCTGGGTCATCGCGTGTAAAAAATCTACGCACGAAGTCGACGAACGCACGGGGAATGGACGTCCGAGCGATGGCAAGCCACGGGCACGACCTCTACGAGGCCCAGCGCCGCCTCGCGCGCCCTGCTCCAGAGCGCATGGGCACGTCCCCGCCACGAGGTTTGTGCTCGGCAATGACGCCGCTCCGCTTCGCTGCGCTGTCCCCCCGTCCTCCACTTCCTTCTCCTCCTCCTCCTCGTCCTCCTCCTCCTCGTCCTCCTCCTCCTCCTCTCCTCCTCCACCTCCTCCTCCCTCCTCCTCCTCCTCCTCCTCCTCCTCCTCCTCCTCCTCCTCCTCCTCCTCCTCCTCCCCCTTCTCCTCCTCCCCCTCCTCTTTGTCCTCCTCTTCTTCGTCCTCCGCGTCCTCCTCCCCCTCCTCCTCCTCCTCCTCCTTCTCCTCCTCCCCCTATCCAGGTCTCTCAAGCCAGATCCGACAAGATGGGGTCGGAGGATCGCGTCGCATCGCTGACGTATTGATGCTGCAGCTTCATGTAGACCCCGATGTTCTTCACGCCGACGGCGCCGATGCATCGCCGACGGTTCAGCACTGCATCGGCGATGCGGCGCGATCCTCCGACCCCGTGCGCCCAGATCCCTTTTGGGAGGTCTTCATAGGGAAACGACAAATGTCGTAAACATGAAACTCTGAGGTCAGCCCGGATCTCTTGGGTCCGCGCTGGACCCCCTCCCAGGCGCTCTCCGCGCGCCAGGGTCTCCACCGGATCCGAGAGATCCGCGCGGACCTCCGACTTATTATGTTTATATCGTTTTTTGTTCTCCTCCTTCTCTCCGTTCCGCCTCCTTCCTCCCCTCTCCCCCACCGGGGTCTGCACCCAGCTCGGCGAGCCTCTGCGCGGCGGCATCGGCCTGCGACGAGGGGAGGGTTTGCGGCGCGAGGAGCCCGACGTCCCCCCCCCCTGGTCTCTGCTGGCTCCCTCGGCCTCTTGCCGGGCAGGCCCCCACCGATCAGTGTGGGCGCCAGGAGATCCCGAGGACACGGCGCACTTCGTAGCTTCAGAGCTTCAGAGTGGGTCACCTCGGAGTGGTTGGAGGACATTCCTGGATCCCCCAGGTGAGCTCCGAAGTGGCGCCGTGCCTCGCGTGGCGGCGCGGGGCCGGTGTGGAGGGCGGAAGCCTTTGGCGGGCGCCAGGCAAGGTGCACAAGGCCAGGGACACCAGAAGCGGCCAGATCGTGGCGATCAAGAAGGCCAAGGTGCGCGGTCGGAGGAGGAGGAGGAGGGGGAGAAGGAGGAGGAGGAGGAGGAGGAGGAGGAGGAGGAAAACTCCAGGAGCTGCTTCCCTGATCAGGGAGCGAGCGGTCAGCGGGAGGGTGAATAAGAGGTGCACCGTTCGTGCACTCTCGCGGCTCCAGAGGGGCCCCCTGGGGCCCAAATGGGTGCGCGGAAGGTGCACCGTTCCTCGCGGCCTCCCTCGCTCCCTCCTGCTCTCGGTGCCGGCTTCCTCGCCGACGCCCCCGACCTGGGGCGCGCCCGACCTGGCCGCAGGGAGCTCTGGCCCCGAGCCCCGCTGGGGGCGGGGCGGGGACCAGGGCTCCGCGATCGGCAGCGAGGGCGTCGCTTCCTGATCTACTAAATCTTATGCAAGAAAAATCCCGTGGAGGCTTGTCCAAGAGGGGTTGTCCAGGGGGGTTTGTCGGGATCCCCGCTGGGCTGTCCAAGGGGTTGTCTGGGGTAGGTCTTCTTGTCGTCATTACTCAGCATGGGTTGTCCGGGTTGTCGGGGGGGTTGTACGGAGTTTTTTTTCGATTGGGTTCTTATTCCACTGAACATATGAGGGGCCTGATTTCGGGAAGCGGCAGGCGGAGAGCTGGGTCACCCGTGGGGGCGCGAAGGGAAGCCAGACCCCGTTCGTCGTGGCCCAGGCCGCAGAGCTGCCCCTGTCCAGGGTGCTGGCTCGAGGGCGCGGAGGTAACGGTGTCGCGCCTCGCTGGGCGCGATGCGCGCAGGTAGGTGGCCTAGGAGCAAACATAACGAGGAGGAGCGAGGCGGAAGAGGAGAAACGAAGAGGAGGAGGAGGAGGAGGAGGAGGAGGAGGAGGAGGAGGAGGAGGAGGAGGAGGAGGAGGAGGAGGAGAGAGAAGAGGAGAGGAGGAGGAGAAACGAGAGGAGGAGGTGAGGAGGAGGAGGAGGAGGAGGAGGAGGGAGGAGGAGAGGAGGAGGGGAGGAGGAGGAGGGGAGGAGGAGGAAGAGGAGGAGGAGGAGGCGGAGGAGGAGGAGGAGGAGGAGGAGGAGGAGGAGGAGGAGGAGGAGGCGCCTCAGAGGGGCAAGGGACAACCATGCCAAGCCCTCACACGCCACTGTTGCTGCAGTGCCACCTACTGGAAGGGTGAGGATCCAATGGCCCTGAATGGTGAACAACTTCTATCAATACTCCTCTTGCGATTCGACGGCGTATCGGTACGAACACACGGAGTTGCACAGGGAAGCGCACCCTGCAAGCATGCTGCTGGTATGCGTTCTAACAAACACGTTGGCGGCGTCGGGGCGGGAGCGCAATTGAAGTCAGCAGCCGCCCCGCATCCGTGCAGCATCTGCTCCCCCACGCATTGCCTGCACTCTTAGGGGTTCTCACCCGCGTTTCTGAGGTATTTCGTGGGTGCCCCGAGGATTTTCAGGAGGGAAAGAAACACACAGACACAATTGATCTTCGATTCCCCGCAAAATATGGGGGAAGACAAAAACCCAGAGAATAGGGGAGCATATGGGATTCGTGTTTTTAATTTGTGTGTGGGTGTGTGTCTTTATTTGTGTGTCCCGGGGCCCCTTCAGATTTGCCACGCTCGGGGCCCGTGGCCGCCCCGCTGCCGCCCCGTTGCCGCCCCCGAGATTCTCGCCGCGTTCCGGCCCCTGTGCCGCCCCTCCGCCGCCCGCGTGGTGCCGCCTTTCCCGGGGGTGCCCCCCGAGACCCGTCCAGCCACAGCAGGGGGAGCCTGTGGTCCTTCACCCCCCTGGGGGGCCCCTCGATTTCGGCACCCCGCCCGAGAGATCGTCGAGGCGATGGGTCCCCCCAGGGGGGTGAAGGACCACGGCTCCCCCGGTGATGGCTGGTCGGAGAGACTCGTCCGGAGGATTCTCGCCACGATCCGGCCCGTTGCCGACTGTGGGGGTGTCCTGAGGATTCGCCATGGTCCAGCCCGTTGCCGCCCGCTGCCGGCCGCTGCCGCCTGTGGGGGTGTCCCGAGGAGTCGGGGTTGCTCTGCAGAGACGCTTGTGCATCGCACAGCTCTCACATCAACGGTGCCATAAATCATTGTTTTGGGTCCACGCTGGCAAACTTCTTCTTCCGCTCCAAGGGAACAGCATGGTAGCCAGCGTGGACCCAAAACTGTGATGTATTGCAGATGGCACGCTGCGGTGTAAGCTATGTGGTTTGAGCTTTCTGGTGTGAGCTGTGGAGGTGTGAGCTATGGAGGTGAAAGCCATGCGCTATACATGTGGCGCAAGCTATGTCGTGTAACCTTGGTGGTGTGAGCTGGAGATGACAGCTACGTAGCGTCAGCTATGGTGTGCAACCTGTGTCGTGCAAGCGGTGCGGTGCAAGCGGCGTGGTGCAGGCGATGCCGCGTAAGCGGTGAGGTGTAAGTGTGAGCTCCGCGCACGGGGCTCGCCCTCGGCGGACCCACCCAGCGCACGTGGCCGCCCTCGAGCGCCCCCGAGGCAGCACGGGCGGCAGCGCGGCCAAACCTCGGCGGGCCCACCCAGCGCACGGGCCGCCGAGGAGGCGCTCGCGGGCCTCCACGGGCGGCAGCGTGGCGGAGCCTCGGCGGACCCGCCCAGCGCACGGGCCGCCCACGAGGCGTCCGCGGCGACACCTCGGCGGACCCGCGCGGCGCACGGGGCGCCGAGGGGGCGACTGCGGGCCTCCGCGGGCGGCAACGGGGCGCAGCCTCGGCGGATCCGCACGAGCAAGAGCCCATAAGCGCAAGCACCGTCTGGGAGTGCATTTCTGCATTCATATCTATACGTATATACATATCTACACATATATATATACATACATACATACATACATACATATATATATGTATATGTATATATTTCTATATATCACATATCTGTACACATGTGTGCATACTTAGTGATCGGAGGAAGCAGCCTCGGTTGACCCCCCGAGCGCGGTGGGCGGCAGCGAGGCGCCCACGGGCGGCAGCGGGGCGACATCTTGGGCAGATGTTTCCACGGCGCGGCGGGCGGCAAGAGGCGCCCACGGGGGGGGGGCAGCTCGGCAGCACGCCGCAGGCGCGGCGGGCGGCCGACGAGGAGCCCGCGGGCGGCAGCGCGGCGAGGCGCCCACGGGGGCAGCGTGGCGAACCCCCCGCAGGCGCGGTGGGCAGCAGACGAGGTGCCCGCGGGCGGCAACGCGGCGAGGCCTCGGCGAGCTCCCGCCCGATTTTGAGGATGAGCCACCCTGCTTCGATAGTTGTCTGGCATGCGGTATCTTGAGGCTAAGCAAGATTCAAGGCTGGTTCCCTTGGTAGCAAGATGTTGATAAGCAGGGAGGCTCCGTCATCGGTGCAGCTGTTGGGCGTGTGAAGCTTGATGGTATGCTCTTGGAGGAGTTGTCAGGCGAGAGCCGCATTTCGACACGCTACCGCTTCCCATTCGTGTAGTTTTGGGGTAATTGCAATTTATGGCCCATCATTGGAGGAATGGCGCAGGCAGGGGCCGCATTTGGAAAAGGTGTTGCCCTCTGTGTAATAGTTGGGAAGTTGTTCGGACGATCTGTACGCAGCTCTATTGCGAGAGCCGCATTTCGAACATGGGTGTCCATCAATTTGTGCACCTGTTAGAGATCTCAAGCTTTCCGATCATGGTGTGTCCGGAAGTCGCATACGAACCCCTCGGCGGGGAGGGGAGACGATGAAGACACCGAGGAGGGGGAGGAGGAGGAGGAGGAGGAGGAGGAGGAGGAGGAGGAGGAGGAGGAGGAGGAGGAGGAGGAGGAGGAGGAGGAGGAGGACGAGTCGCCCCAGGAGGCGGCGTCCCCAAGCCCACGCTCTCGCTCCCAGGTGGCGGCCATGGACAGGGAGGTCGGGGGCATCGGCTTCACCGCGCTGAGGGAAATAAAGCTCATGCAGGCGGCGGGCGGGGGAGGCGGGAGGCGCGGAAGAGCGAGGCAGTGGAGGGAGGGGGGATGGGAGGGAGGGAGGGAGGGAGGAGGGAAGAGGGAAGGAGGGATCGGGCAAGTGGGAGGAGTGGGAGAGCAGAGACACAGGGCAGTTCAGTGCGGCCCAGCTGGACCCGTGAAGCGGGCCCTGGCCAGGGCCAGGGCCACTCCCCATAGAGCCGAACGCCTCCAGCGCGACCGCCCCCCCGACACCGCCCTTGGAGGTAGGGAGGCAGGGAGGGAGGGAGGGAGGGGAGGGGGGGGAGAAGAAAGGAGGGAGAAAGGAGGAGGGAGAGTGGACCTGGCGGCAGTACTGCAGCCCTCCTGCCCTCCTTCCTCCTCTTGAGATTTCGTCGCTCCCCTCCCCTCCGTCTGGAGGTTGCCGTGGCGCACCCTCACAGCACATCCTCATTTTCTTCCTCCCCCCTCGGCGTCGAAAGCCCCTCCACGGGGGGAGGGCTGCGTGTACGGCGGTACTGAAGCCCTCCGCTCGAAGTTCGAAACGAGTCTGGCGCTGGTCTTCGTCGACACGTGCCGCCGTCAGCTGCAGCCGCGGCACATCGGCATCACCTCGTGCCGCGTCAGCTGCAGCCGCGGCAAATCGGCATCACCTCAGCACACGTGTGCTATGCTTGCGTCGGCCTCCCAGGCGCGACGCGCGCGCATTCAGAACTCTCATGGTATGCGATCGGGGGCGAGCGCTTTCTTGACATACCGTCTAGGTCGCGATATGTATCCTTTTTGTATATGCATACGTGTGTGTGTGTGGTTCAAGGCTCGGGCCGTTCCCCTCGCCACGGGGGCCGGGGTGCTCACCGCAGTGCGCCTTCGAAGGGCAGCCCTCGAGCGCATGCGGCCTGCGGTGTCAAGAGGCTGATCGGCCTGGTAGATCGCCGCCTGGTTTGGATATTCTCTCTTCACCATCGTGTGTGTGCGTGTGTGTTTGTTGGTGTGTTTGTTTGTGTGTTTGTTTTTGTGTGTTTGTTTTTATGTGTGTGTTTGTTTGTTTGTTTGTGCGTGTGTGTGTGTGTGTGTGTTTGTTTGTTTGTTTGTTTGTTTGTTTGTTTGTATGTTTGTTTGTTTGTTTGTTTGTTTGTTTGTTTGTTTGTTTGTGTGTGTGTGCGTGTGTGCGTGCGTGCGCAGCGCTACATGTTCGCCTCGGACGCGCGCCTCTCCGAGGGGGGCGCACAGCAAGCCGCCTCCAGCCGTGCCCGTCCGCGTCGCGGCACCGCGGCTGGCGAGACGACGCTGGCCGGCGGGGCACACGGCGGCGGTGCTCGCCGCGCTGTGCACGGCGCGGCCTCCCGCGGGGCCGCGGGCGGCTGCCTCGGCCACCGCGGGCCCGAGGTGCGTGCTCCTGGGAGCTCGTCGGGGGCTTCCGAGACGGGGGGGGCCTCGGCGTCGAAGGGGTGGGTGGGTGGGTCCCGAGGGAAGCGGGTCCTGAGGCTTTCTGCCGTTTTCGGGCTCCCCGGGCCCCCACGGGCCCTGCGGCTGTCAGAAACGACTCAGGATGCAAAAGTGGACCTTGGGTTGAGTCGGGCATGGTACAAAATAGTAGATGGGGACGCACGACCCGTTTCCCTCGGGACCCGTTCCCCCCATGCTCAGAGTGAAGGCGTCTTCGTGGATTTTTAAAGGCTCTCTCGCCTCGGGATGCTTCTTCGGAGGGCAACAATTATACACCAACACCGATCCTGGCCAGGATCACCCTGGGCCCAGGATCGGTGTATACGCCCTCCTGCCTGGGGCAGGAAGGCATATACACCGATCCTGGGCCCAGGATTGGCCTGGCCAAGATCGGTGTAGGTGTATAGTTGGTGCCCTCCCACTTCTCTCTCGCCTCGGCAGTAGCTCCGTGCACGCCGCGCCTGCGGCGGCCGGGTGCCTGCTGGGCGTGGGGAGGGGAGCCGGCCGCCAGACGTCGGGGGGGCCCCCTGGCGGTGCGGCGGCCACACCGCCGGGCCGAGTCGGTGTGGATTTCGGGGGCGCTCGCGGTCCGTGTGGCGGGTTCTCCCCAGGCATGACCGCGCTGTGCAAAAGTCAGGACGGGAGGTTTTGGGCCACTTTTTGCCTCGGGGAGCCCTCGCCGGGCCTCGGGACCGTCCACAGAACGGCTGGGGATGAAGAGCCTGTCCCGGGGACACGGTCTGGACTTCCAGGGGCGCCGTCCTGAGGAAATCAGGACGTCGCGCGTCTGGGTCCCCATCCTCGGGACGCTCTCTCCAGCAGCTGCGCCCCGCCGAGAGCTTCTCGGGGGGCGCCCCGATGCTCCTCCTGGACGTAAGTCGGGCCTGTCCCTCTACGGGGGGGGTATGTTCAAAAATAGTCAAACAATAGCCTGGGGACCCTTTTGTTGAGTATTCTTGGGCATCTTGTGAGCATTTTTTGAGCATTTCTTATTTTTCGTACAAAATCTTCCTGTAGGGGGACATGCCCGACCTGATCCTGGACGGCCGCGGGAGGTTCGAGCCGTGGCCCAAGGGCCTCCAGGCGTCGAGGAGGGGAGGTCCGGGCGGCCGCAGGACGCCCGGCCGGTGGCCCGGAAACCACCACGCGCCGAAGAGGGCGGTGAGGACCGTGTGTGTCTGTGTGTGTATGTGGGTATGTGGATATCATGGCCCCTTCGTCTTCTTCTTCTTCTTTATATTTTCTTATTCTTCTTCTTCCCGTTATCATCATCATCATTATTAGTTTCGGTATTCGTATCATTACTATTCGTGTACTTGTTAAATTAATAATGCTAGTAATTATCATTGTTATATTGATTTTGTTTAAATCATTATTCTTTTTCTTCTTGTTCTTCTCCTTCATCTAACTCGTTCCCTGCCCCCCCCATCTCGTCCGCGCACGTGCCTGGGGCCATGACGCGCTGCCCTCCCCCGCTTCCCGGCCCCCCTCTCTTCGGCGCACCCGAGTGGCTCTGGGGGCCAGAAGTCTGGGGTTCCAGAAGTCTGGAGTTCCTGTCCGCCGGCTCGAGGAGGGCACCCTGATACTCTGCGTGCTTGCCAGGTGCTCCCATGCATCCCGTGGAGGGTGCCCTTGGATGCTCTGTGTGTTTTGGCCGGCGGAGAGCCGCCGTGTTCTCGAGGGATGCTCTTCCGGCCCAGGTCTGGCTGTGGGACCAGAACTGGACGCAGCTTCGCGTGGCAGACCTGCACGCAGACCCGTCAAACGATGAATCGATGATATCGTCGCTCTTCCTGAACGGCAGAGGTAGCGGAGTTTCACCCAAGAATTGGAGAGACGTTGCTTCAGACTCTGCAGCATGGCAGGAATCGGAAGCTGCATTCTGCTTGAACGACATGAGCGCTGCGGCGCTGACCGCCCCGCCTTCGGGGCCGAGCCTTGTTCGACGCGGTGTCCATCCGTCCGTCCGTCCGGCTGTGGGCCGTGATGGCCGCGGAAAGCCGGCCAGCCTCACGGCGAGACGCAGCGGGGCCCGACAGGCGCTCGAGACGGCTCGGCCCAGAGACTCGCGGGAGAGGCGATGGGGGCGAGCGGCGGCGCTTGGCTAATGGCAAGTCGGGCATGGCCCTCTTCTACAGGGGGAGCGTGCAAGAATCGTGCAGAAATACCTTGGGGCCGATGTTTCGGCTACTGCTCATTTTTATTACACTGTTTTTTGCTTCTTCGCTTTTCTCCCGACATCCGCCCGTAGGGCGACAGGCCCGACCGAAGGCTGATGGCGCGGTGGCGGCTTCAGGAGGCGAGGCCACGCTGGGCGGCGCGCGACCCTCGCTGCGGGGAGCCGCTCGCGCGAGAGGCGGAGGCGACGAGAGGGGCGAGAGCAGCCCGGAGGGAAGCCACACACACGTATTCGCCCGGGAGCCTCGCCGAAGGCACAGACCATCGGCACCCCCGGATGCATGCATTAAATCTCCTTTGGGGTCGTTCGCCCGCCTCGCCGGCCACCGAGAGGGGACGCAGCACGCCGTTCCGCTGCGGGTAGCCCCCGCGCGGGGAGAGGAGGGGGTCGTAGATCCCTCTGCGGGCAGCCCCGCGAAAGATCGAGGTTGAGGAAAAGGTCCCAGCAAGAACGGAAGCCGCCGTGCCGCAAATGGCGGCAGCTGTCTGGCAGCTACAGGCGCGCCAGCAGCAGTGGGATGCAGACCTGCTGCAGGCGTGAGCGGAGGCGGCAGTTGGCCTGCTGGGCGGCAGCTCCCTGGGGACGCGGGGGCGCTAGGGGCGACAGGGGGGAGTGACGACAGGGGGGAGTGACGACAGGGGGGAAGGGACGGGATCGCAGAGGAGGTCCGCGGGGCGACAGGGGGAGGGGCGACAGGGGCGACAGGGACGCCGGTGTCCTCTGCCGGGGGCGACACGACGGGCGACAGGAGTCCACTGCCGGGGGCGACAGGGGGGGAGGGACGGGACCGCAGAGGAGGTCCGCGGGTGAGCGTGAGCGGGTGAGGAGGTCGAGGCTGAGACTGGTGGTGGTGGCTATCCCATGAGGCCCGTGAGGCATACAACGCGCCCTGGTCTGAATCGGTCGACGACGCATCCAGCGGACACGGCTAGCAGCCTCGAGCCAGCGGGTCAAAGCAGGCGGACGAAACATACCAACGCGCAAATGTACATTGTCAATCTGGCGGGCCTCGAGCAGATCAGCATGCACCACGACAGCGACGATGAAGCTGTCGACGACTACGACGGTGTCGAGGTGCGCTCACGATCCGTGCACAGGCAGGGAATTTGGAGAGGGCCCGACTTGCGAGGTTTGGTCATCATCACATCATCGGGGCGGATCTGGGGGGACCGGCGAGGGGGAGGACGAGGGTAGGGCCAGGCGAGCATGGGTATGGCAGGAGGGCGACAGGCCAACAGCACGCGCTTCTTTACGGTCCCTCCTTCTCTCCTCACTTTTTCTTTCGATCCAGAATTATGAAGACGGCGATGACGACGACGATGGTGATGGTGATTGCGACGGTTGCTATCATGAGTATGATGGTGATAGGCCGTCTGCTGTATCCAACAACCCCTCACTGGGGCAGCGAGAGCTCACTGAAAACCCATCTGGTCCCAGGGAAAGGAAACATGATGATGATGCTGATGATGATGACGATTATGATGATGCTGATGATGCTGATGATGACCATGCTCTGGTGCTTCTCGGCAGCTGTCGCGCGGAACGCAAACAGGCACGATGGGTGCCGACTACCGAGGCGCCATGCACAGCGACCCACGCCGAGGGATGCAAGAACGATGCTCACGATGCCAATGATGGTCATTCTGATCACGAGCGTGATGGTTGGTCATGATGGCGGTTTTGAAGGTGACAACGATGCTGTGGATGATATTTGTTGATAGTGATGACGCATAACATGACGACGATCGTAGAGATGATACTGGTGATGGTCACGTGGATGTTGATGGCGGCAAACAGGAGGATTTTGATTGTGGTGGTGGTGGCGGGCACAACGGCGACGTTGACGATGACGATGGTGATGGTGGTTGTGATGGTTATGGTAATGGTGACGGTGACAGTGGTGATGATGATTATGATGATGATGATCTATGATGATGGCGATGATGACGATGCTGATGGTGATGCTGATGATGAGGATGATGATGAGGATGATGAGGACGAGGATTATGATTCTGATGATGCTGATGATTATGAGATGGTCATCATCATGATCATGATCATGATCATGGGGTTGGTGATATGGATGTTGATGATGATGATGGTTGTGAAGAAGGATGATGATGATGCTGATGATGATGTTGATGATGATGATGAAGATGATGGCGGTGGTGGTGGTAGTGACAATGGTGACGATGCTGATGCGGATGGTGGTGCTAGTGGTGGTGATGATGATGCTGATGATGATGACGATGATGATGCTGCTGATGATGATGATGCTGATGGTGAAAATGATGCTGATGATGCTGCTGCTGATGATGCTAATGCTAATGCTGATGCTGATGATGATGATGCTGATGATGATGCTGATGATGATCATCTTGTGCTGTTGATGATGAAGATGAAGATGCTGAGGATGCTGCTGCTGCTGATGATGCAGGTTATGATGATGTTGAGGAGGGGGATAATGATGAGTATGCCGTTGCTGCTGATGCTGCTACGCTGATGATGGTGGTGATGTTGTTGTTGATGCTGATGCTGTTGATGATGATTGTGGTGGTGGTGCTGGTGATGGTTGTGCTTCTGCTGCTGCTGATGATGCTGCTTGTGGTGGTGATGATGATGCTGATGGTGGTGATGATGGTGGTGGACAAGGATTATGGTGATGGTGATGACCATGCTGTCGATGATGACGATGATGATGCTGATGATGATAATGGTGATGATGACGATGATGACGATGATGATGATCATGATGGTAATGATGGTGATGGTGATGATGATGATGATGCTGATGCTGATGCTGATGATGTTGATGATGTTGATGTTGATGCTGATGACGATGATAAAGATGTTGAAGGTGATGATGCTGATGTTGATGATGGTGATGAGGATGATGAGGATGCTAATGATGATGCTGATGCTGATGCTGAGGCTGCTGCTGATGCGGATGATGCTGATGATGATGATGCTGATGATGCTGCTGATGCTGATGATGCTGATGCTGATGATGCTGATGATCACGATGATGACGACGACGACGACGATGATGATGATGATGATGCTGCTGATGATGATGATGATGCTGATGAGGATGATGGTGGTGGTGGTGGTTGTGGTGATGACGATGACGATGATGATGATGCTGCTGCTGATGATGATGATGGTGGTGGTGGTGGTGGTGGTGGTGATGATGATGATGATGATGCCGATGATGATGATGATGATGATGATGATGATGATGATGATGATGATGATGGCGGTGGTGGTGGTGGTGATGATGATGATGATGCTGATGCTGTGCATGATGATGATGCTGATGCTGATGCTGATGCGGATGACGATGATGATGCTGATGATGATG